GGCAGGCTACTCAGAAGAAGGAAGTTTTCACCATGGCATTAAGAAAAAGGCAGACCGCCCAAAATAAAAATGGTCAAAGATTTGAACAGGCAATGATAAAAAAAATATATGAATGACAAACATAGAAGAGTTTTCAAATATTAGTCATTATGGAATACAAATTAAAACCACAACATCATAGAATCTCTACACCCCAGATTAAAAAGACAGATAGTAGCTAATGATGGCAATAATGTGGAGCAACTGTACATACCTGGTGGAAGTATAAACTGGTATAATCACTTTAGAAAACCATTTGGCAGTATTTACTAAAGCTGAATTATGTGAGCTCCATGATTCCAGAATTCCAGTACTAGAGAATCACGTATATATGTTCTTCACATTAAATATATAATCACTAAAATCTACAAATAATCTCAATGTTCATCAACAGTGGAATGAATAAATAACTTGTAGTATATACATACAAGCAATACAATCCACAATGATAACTAATTAACTACGTCTAACAATATTTATATAACAAACATAATATTGAGTGAAAGAAGCCAGACACAAAGAATAAATATATCATATCATTGTTTATGTAAAGTTCAAAAACAGCTAAAGTAATCTATGATGTTGGAATTTAGGATGACTGATTACCTGCAGCAAGAAGGGAGTGCCTAGAAAAAGGAGCAGAAGGTAGCTTCTGGGGTTCTGGTAATGCCCTGTTTCTTGATCTGGCTGCTGGCTTATATGGGTGTGTTCACTTTATGAAAATTCATCAAGGCATAATTTTCTCTATGTATGTTTAACCTCTATTGAAATTTACATTATACATATTATATATTTATATATACATATATGTGTGTGCATGTATACGTGTATGTGCATATTGTCAAAAACGACATTTCAGCAAATGAAGTTGTAAAGAGTTAATTGACTTGTGTTAGCAATTCATGAACCAGGCAGCATCCAGTCTATAAAATTGACAAGAGGTCCACTGGCCATGGCAGAAAAGTTGGTTTTTGTAAGGCAACTTGAGCTGGAACAAGGAAACATCTAGTGTAAAAAGTAAATTGGTTAATGTCAGCTTACTAAAGGTTACTCTCCTTGTATGGTTTAAAGCAGAAGGGACTTGATTACTATGCCAGCTCAGGTCAGTTGTCTGGGCCCTTTTGATTGGTTGCTGTGGATTTCCTATTTTTTCAGAAAACTGACCTTTTTGGGGGTTTGGCTAGCATCTCTCCCCTAATCTCTTAGGTCAGATCTTGCAAGTAAATAGCTTAGGTTTTGCTTTGGTGATCAGGAACATTCGCATGAGTTATTCCAGTTTAGGTTTGTCTGTTGGGACCTAGTGCAAGATCTCAGCCCAAATCAATAGCCTCTCATAATTTTTATTTAAGAGTGTATACACATATTCACACACACACACACACACCCCTATATATTCCATCCAAACTGTAGCCACTTCTGTCTTTCTCTACTGTTCTCTCTAATGTAATACTTCTGCAATAACTGTTTGCCCCAGTTTCACTCTTATACCCTTGTATCTTCACCAGTAGTCAGAATGAGAATTTTAAGACAGAAGGCAGGCCATGTCTATCCTTGGCTCATAACAAGTAGTAGCTTCCCATGTCAATTCAAGTAAAATCCTCAGAGGGGATGCATGTCCCTGACAGTCTGTATAAAATAGCTTCACTCAAACCTGTTACTTATCCCTTTACCTGCTTTATTTTTCCTTATAGCTCTTATCACCAACTGACATACCATTTACTTATTTATTTACAATGGCCTCTCTGCCACTAGTACGTAGGCTACATGAGAGCAGGGACTTTATCCTTCTGTTTTGCAGCCCTAACATCTGGAAAAGTGCGTGGCATAAAGTAATGGATAGATGGATTTGATTGTCACCAAAAAATGTAGAAAATAGGCAGAATTTTTATTAGCCTTCTTTTATAGGTTTGGAAACAAAAAGAATAGAATTATATGAAGAAACAAAAAATGAAATTACTTACTCAGTATTTATTCAGAAATACCTCCAGGTCTTCTGTTCCTCTCTCTCACCTTTCTCTTCTCTCTGTCTTTCTCACTCTGCTCTTCACCTCCCACAAAACCACTCATGCATACAAAGACACAGGCACAAGAAGAATGAAATAAGTACAATTTTCCTCATTAATGAAAGTATGCATGTGAACTACTCTGTTCACTACAATTTTTAGCCATTTTACTCATATCATAGATAGTCATAAAATACATTTTATATATTATTTGAGATATATGTTATATAACATATCTCATATATGTGTATGTGTGTGTTTGTGGGTTATATAATTCTACTGGATTATATAATCCTGTTGATTGAGAATTAAATGAGGATGACAGCCAGGTAAAGATTTATTATATTGGAGTTAGGCCTTTTTATAGAAGCCATGATTTGTGGTCATTTGTCCTCTTTGAAAACATGATAAGAAAGAATCTATTGTTTTGCTTGCCAAAATATGTGGGACCTAGGGCTGGTTTCTTTAGCATTTTTTCACTAGAAATTTTTTTAAACAAAGTAAGATCATTTTTTTTAGATCCTGCCTGCATTACAACAATTAAAAACTTTTAAGACTCCAAAGATAAAGTTTTTGTCAGTGACTGTCCAGAAACTGAGATTGTTTCAGTCAGAAGTCTCACCTCCCCGTTCTCAGAATGAATTGTAGAGACCCTGGAGTAAACAAGGGTGTATAAGGTTAATTGCTGTTTCTATATAGGTATCCATTACCTTTTCAAAGGACTACCCATGGGATTTACCACTTGGCAGTTTGTCTAAAAGCTTGCAAAAGTAGGGGGTTGGGGAGAGGTCCAATTTGGTTGTCAACCTATTGACCCTTCAGTTTTGGTTAAAAAAATATATAAAAGTTTTGGGCTCTTTCAGTTACTAAGTAGCTAACTACAGTTTTGTTTGGTTTGTTTTTAATTCAAAAAGTGGGAAACAGTGATTGCTCAGCTGCTAGCATTAGTATTTTTCTCCTCCTCCCTCTTAAAAAACAGTAAGTATAACATCAAGCCATAACTTTAAAAGCAGATTAAATTAAAAAAATGAAATCCCAAATTTATTGAGTGCAATGAGGCCAATGTCAGATCATTCGTTCATCAGGTAGTTTCAGCTTTTAATAAGGCAGAAAATTATAGTTAAAGAGAAAGCTGGCTTTTACTTATGAATACAAAATAGCCATTAATGTCATAGGAGAAAATAATGCCAAAGTTTATTCTGAAACTCAGACTTTCAGATAAGCAGAGAAGAGTATAGGGTAATAAGAATATATGTGTAACTCCAATGTGGGAGTTCTGGCTTCATCTTGACCACACAACTTGGAAGCTGTGTAACCTAAGGCAGGTTAGTTAACCTATCTGAATCTCACCTTCCTGAGGATGCAAAATGAGGATGGCTTTTGTGAAGACTAAATGAGGTAATGGTTCTAAAAACGTTTTGTAGCTGAAATAATCTATAGGATTATTACTGTGCTTAAATAATTTATTGAATACCTTTCCTGCCTCTGTCTACCTCCTAATGCCACTTCTGTAAGGTTTAACTAAAGTTGCTCCTCATCATTTAGGTTTGCTTATCCCTACTATTATAGATTAGGATATTTTTACCCCAATTAAATGATAATTTCCCATATGGTCTATGTCTGAATTAGCTTTCGTAAGGCAGCACAGACCTATGACCTTCTTTGAAACCTAAACCATTAATGTTGTGCATACATAAACAAGCAGCTCCCTGAGACCTTAAAGGTAGGGGGATTGGAGATAGAAAGTAGAAAGTAGAAGAAATGTCTTCTTTCCCCACCTCAGGATAGAACATCGTCCCATTTTCCTAAATATTTTTTCTATCTATAGTAGAAACAGTCACTATTTTATGCCAGTTATTATATGCCAAGCACTGTGCTATGCATTATTTCACATAATCCTCACAACAGACTAATGCATTCTGTACTATTATTGCCAGTATAGACAGGAGAATCATAATCAGAGCAATTAAGTAGCTTGACCAGTGTCACATATCTGGTAAATAGAGAGTCAGGATTTGAACCTAAACCTGCTCCATTCCTTTTCCAGGCTTTTCCCATTATTTACCTCCTACATTTCAACTTCTTTTGTGAAGAAGTTGCAAAACTTCTTTGCAAAATCTTCTTTTGCATGTATTTGTTTGCCTTTCTAGCCCTTTAAAGTTTCATCTTTGGTGTGCTTGTAATGAGTAGGGTAGGAACCTATAAACAAAGATTGAGTGTGGTCCTTCTACTTAAGGAGCTATTATAATCTACTGGCAGAAAGATGACAGGCAAACAAACCACTCTATGACATGGAACTCTGTGTGTGTGTGTGTGTGTGTGTGTGTGTATAGCAGTTTTTGTTTGTGTTCTTCAACTTTTAAGTTCAGGTGTACATGTGCAGAATGCTTAGGTTTGTTACATAGGTAATCATGTGCCATGGTGGTTGGCTGCACAGATCTTCCCATCCCCAACAGACCCCAGTATGTGTTATTCCCCCTTTGTGTTCATGGAACAGTTTAAGAAGTCATAGCAGATAAAGCATCAGCCTCCTCATCTGTAACATGAAAATAATACTCTACCTTTTAAAACTGTTATCATAGAGTGAAATGGCTTATATCAAGTATATAATACCCTGACTTCTAGTAAGTGGTCAGTATATGGAATCTATAATGTGGCCAGACAGTCCAAGGACTAGGATACCAGACTAAAAAAGCAATTTGGAGCCAGATTTTCAGAACCTTGAATGCCAATCCAAAGAGTGTGGACTTTCGGCTTGATGAAAACAATTGTGTCAAAGTTAGTAATTATTCCAAAAAGAAATTAGAGTGCTATTCCAAAAAGGTGCTATTTCAAAATTCATTGTGAGATGGAGTTGGTGGAAGTAGTTGGAACTTGTTTAAAGGAGTTTTATATTTGATGTACTAAAAAGAAAGATGATATTTTCAAGTTTGATGCCTTTTATTTTTTCTTCCACAGTAATTAGTGAATGCCAAAGGCAGCAACTGGAGGCTGTGAGCTACTCCGCTCGCTATGCTCTTGGCCTCTTTTATGAAGCTGGCACGAAGATTGATGTCCCTTGGGCTGGGCTGTACATCACCAGTAATCCCTGCGTACGCTTCATCTCCATTGATAATAAGAAGCGCAATATAGGTCAGTACCCCCATTATTTCCCTTAAATACAGTAACAATGGTGGGTGTAGATCATGAAAAATGCTGTTTAATTGAGTGTTGCCATTCTGAACAGAGCAAGCATTTAACTCCAAGCTACAGGGGATAAAATTTAATGTCACATTTGGCCAGTAATAAAATACACAGTGAAACCAGGAAAGTTTTTCAGAATATCACTCACCACATGGTTTATATTACTGAATTTGTGAAAATGGTATCAGAAAGTTTAAGGTTTCAAAATGGCTCAAGTTATATTGCTTTAATATGGATGCATCTATATGCAAATATATCTCTCATTTGTTTCTTGGCGAAGTTAGTTTTTATTTGTTTAGTTTGGGTTTGTTTGGTTTTGGTATTTTTTGTTGTTGTTAAGTGCTGTTCTTCCACTCCCTTGGCTAGAAATAAAAGGAGAATTTTACTATATTATGAAAATTCTTCATTTTAATTTTATGTTTATTTATTTACATTTCATCTGGGGGAAAATGGTAAATTTATATACAGTGTAATGGGTACAGTGTTTCATGAGAGTTTTACTAGAATGTGATGAAATCTACACTCCACCCTTTTTGTTGAAGATAATTATAATAATTAGATTTGAATTTTAAGAAAAACATAACTGATTCCTTTTAGGCAAAAAGGTGAAAGTGTATTTTCATTTGTACAATTGCAGTGATCCCTGAGATGCTGCTTTTTGTGGAATAACTGTAAAGATGTAAAATGACTAAACTCTTGAATTATCCTTCCAATCTGTTAGAGTGTTTTATGGGGCAGTGATGGCTTCATCAAGCCAACAGTTAGAAGTCTGGCTTGATAAAATCACCAACTAACGTCTCTTGGCTCACCAGAACTTCATAATGATAGCACTGGGCTGGAGTATGGTTTTTTTTATCAGAGCATATGATCTTAGAAAAATGTTTCTTTTATAACTTAAAACTCCCTTAGGGCTGGACTTTTTGTGTTAACATGATACCACATATATGTACAATCAGCAGTTCATGAAATGCCTGAGAACAGCAATGGACTAACCATTTTTAACTCTACAATTGCTTTGTTCTGAGAAAGGGAGAATAACCTTTGATCTTCTCATGTTATATGCCATGAATTAGACATTATCCTTCGTATATTGCATCATAAGATACGATATCTGTCAGAATGTATTCAGTTGTATATAACAGAAAAAAAATTTTAACTTGTTTAACAGCATAAAGACATTTGTTATATTATCTGCTGTAGACTGAACTGTGTCTCCTCCATAGACATAAGCTGAAGCCCTAATCCCGATATGGTTGTATTTGGATATAGGGCTTTTAGGAGGTTTAACTACCTTATCTTATTATTATCTTAATTGATTAAATGAGTTCCTAAAGGTGGGATACTAACCCTGTGGGGTTGATGGTCTTATAAGAAGAGCAAAAGAGAGAAAGCTCTCTCTCTCTGTCTGTCCTGGCTTGCACACACTATGTGAGGACATAGTGAGAAGGCAGCTGACTGCAAACCAGGAAGATAGCCCCTACTAAGAGCCAAATCTACCAGCACCTTGATCTTGGACTTCCCAGCCTCCAGAACTGTGAGAAATTTATGTTGTTTAAGCCACCCAGTCTATGGTATTTTGTTATGGTAGCCTGAGCTGACTAATACATTATCTATGAAGAAGATTGGAGAGACTTCAGGGTTCATTGATTCAGGAACTTAGGAATATCTTCAAAGACCTAGGTTTTATCTTTCTCTGCTCTCTTCCACTCTCAATGTTGACATCCTCAAAGGACTGGTAGCAAGATGGCAATAGCTGTTAGAGTCACATTGAACTTAACAGCATGCTTACAAACAAAATGAACTATCACTGGCTCTGTTCCTTTCTAAGAATCAAGGAAATCTTTCGAGAAGCCTTTTAATAGACTTCTCCTCATGTATCACAGACCAGAAATGGATTACTCGAGTACTCCAAAACCAGGCACTGGCAAAGAGGGTAGGAGCAACATGTTAAGTCTACACAAGTTGAGATCTACTCCTAGAACTGGTGCTAGGGTCATCTTTCCTTTAGTTATGAGGAGTGCTACCTGAATAAAATAGGGTTTTGTTAGGAAGAAGAAAGAAAGTAGTAAATGCTGGATTGGCAATCAGTCATCTCCATCATCTTCAGGTAGAGCCACATCTTACATGGGAGGTAAAGCTCTAAAGTTGTCACATAAAAAGAGTCATATACATTCAAAATTACTTTCAAAGTTTCTTAAAACTACATGACATTTTAGAGAATGACATAACATTTTTCAGTAAATTCAGTACAACTATTTTCCTAACATTCAGTAGATTTCTATTTCTTTGGTATAGCCAGATTAAAAATTGGTTTGGATTTATAGGATCCAGTGATATTTTCTACTACGAATGGCACACAGGAAGAAAAGAAATAGCAAAGTCATATCTCCTAACTGACTATAAATCTGCTATAAAAATGGAGTTGGATGGTGGGTAAAAGCACCCACATTATAGTGCAGTAATAATTTATAAAATTATGCAAATTTGAAAGAGTATAACATAAAATATTAATAAACTGTCGTGATTGGAAGCATTTGAAATAATAGAATTTTTAAATTTTTTTATATCAATAATCATACAATATTGAAAGTAGTGGGCTATGTAAATTGGAAATCATGCTTTTGCTACAGCCCTTGGTGGTACCACTTCTGCAAGTAAAGAAATACCTGCTTTTCTTTGTCAGTTGTACAGAAAATTAATCCTAAATTATGAAAGTTTTAAATTAAGTAAGAAAAAATGCCAGGAATGGCATTTCATAACATAAAATCTAACTGCTTTGCATTTAAATTATTTTTTCTCCCTATCTGGGGACCAGGATACTAAGTGGGTCTAGTTGAATTCCTTCATACTACAAATGCCCATATAATGTAACTTCACTGTATTTTATTGATATTGATATTTAACTAGGGCAGTAAGAGGTTGTTGTTGTTGTTGTTGTTGTTGTTTTAAGACAGAGTCTCACTGTGTAGCTCAGGCTGGAGTGCAGTGGCAAGATCTCAGCTCACTGCAACCTCTGCCTCCTAGGCTTAAGTGATTCTTCTGCTTCAGGCTTCCAAATAGCTGGGAGTACAGGTGCCTGCTACCATGCCTGGCTAATTTTTTTTGTGCTTTTAGTAGAGATGGAGTTTCACCATGTTGGCTAGGCTGGTCTTGAACCCCCCGACCTCAAATGATCCAACTGCCTTGGCCTCCCAAAGAGCTGGGATTACAGGCATGAGCCACTGCACCCACCCAAGAGATGTTTTTTTTATGCCACTAACACTACCCCACATTCTCGCTTTATTTGGGGTATTTGAATCAAGAATTAATACTGCAACATACATACACAACCAATTAAATGTTTGTGTTCTGTCAAGGTAGAGAAGCAACAAGATAAACAAAGTCTAGCATGGTTGAGACCACAAAATACAATCAGTTGTTAAGTCTTGAATAGAGCTAGAGGATATAGAAGTAGCCCAAAATCAAGGCATAATCATTTGTTAGAAGTCAGAAATAGGTAGTACGTGTAGAAAGCCACAGCCAGAGCCAAAGTTGCCTGAGGCAGAGGAAGTAAATTCCAAGATGTACTAGACCCAACTTTAAGCATCAATAGTTATGAGTATGCCCCAATATCCTTGTTTGTGTTTCGCAAAATGTGTTCAGTGGAACACTGTTTCCTTGCGATGCTCTTTGAAAAAGGGCTCTGTCATCAAATAAATTTGCAAAATCCTACAGACTTTTATTTTGGAGAATCTTAGGACGTATTATCTTATTCCAAGATATTCCTACTGAAAAGACACCTTTTTACTTCTTTTGATCTAGAATTTCCTAAATATACTTGACCGTGGTGTTATTTTATTTCGGCATCAAACCATCCCACAAAAATGGTTCCCAAGTATACATTTGATAAACCCTGACTTGATGTCACCTTTCATGCTTCATACCTGGGCAAGAATCTTAGGCCAGGTCATTGGAGTGGGAGGTCTGGTCCTGAAGGCATCAATTGGAAAATACCTGAGATTTTTTAGAGATGAGAGAACCCTTGTTGCCAATTAACTCACATCTTCATGGAGTTAACATTTGAGACAATTTATGTTAAAATAAGGTATTTATCATATTAACTTGGGTAGTTTTTTAAATTATCAGTTATATTGGCATAGTGGGAAGAATTTGGACTTACAAGACCTAGATTCTGATTCTGAAACATGCTACTGTTGTACTTTTGTAAAGTCCCTGTATTTGTAATACTAGTTTTTGTAGTAAACACACCCAAAAACTTTAATGGCCTGAACATGACTGAGGTTTATTTCTTGCTCGCATAAAGCCCAAACAGGCGTTTGTGATTGGTAGGTAACTTTCTTCAAAGCTTTATTGAGGAATCCAGGCTCCATCCATTTTTTGAATCTGCCATCTTCATCAGGTAACTAACAGAGTCAGTGTGCTTATAGGCATCAATCTGTGGATAGAAAGAGAATGGAGGAGAGCCACAGGAGTTTTTTAGGGATAGGCCTAGAAATCATGTACATCAGGTGTGCTCACATTCTGTTGGTTAGGACGCAGTTACGTGACAACACTTATTTGGAAGGAAAGCTGGAAATGTAGTCTACCTATATATGTAGGAAGAAGAAAAAGTGGATTTGGTGAACATCTCGCCAGTTTCTACTAAAACATTTAGCATAAATCATTCTGTTCATAAAATGAACAAATTGGACCCATGTGAATGATAACTAGTTTTAAACACAAGTGAGAATCATTCAGTAAGTAGTTGCCACCTGGGGCAAAAACTAAGAATGATTCCCAGGCTGGTATAAACTCAGTAGAAAAAGAACTGCCAACAATTAGCAATATCTGTCACGTAGAGGACATAAGGAATAGTGCCACAAGTGAGATATATTTACCTCCCAGGAAGATCTCTAAGGTCCATCCCAGGATCTTAAATTTGAAGTTAGACTGTTGAGGAATCCAGACTCAACTCAGTTCCACCACTTACTACCTGTGAAATTTTTGAGTAAATTAAACTGTTGCCTCCTCAATAAGATGAGTAAAATAATACCATAACAATACCAAAGGGCTACTGAGAATTAAGTTATTTGAACATATGAAGAGCTTTGCATGGCATTTAGAAAATAAGTCAATATTTATGGTACCTATTATTATAGGTACCATATTAACAATTCCAGTCTTCAATTTGGATATTACAGTCTCTGAAGCAAAGGGCATAAATATAAAAGTCTAACTTAGGTGAATGCAGCCTCTGTTACTGGTACAGTTAGAAGGTAGGGCAGCTTAAATAAATAAAATGAGTGAGCAACGCTGAAAATGATTAATCAAAAATTTAGCATCCTTTTCTTGTCACCATCAGGAGAAGTGTTAATGATCAATAAAATCACCAATAGGCAGCAATCTGAGGAGATTAAGAAAGACAATCTGCAGTTCTAGAGATGTGATGACCAATGGCCACAATACATAGTTTTCAATATCTGATCAAAGAAAAAATCTACCTCATCTTAAAAGAAGACAAGCAAATGAACAAACTTATAATTTGTTCAGAGAATTTATCCTTGTAAGAAGTTTATTGTTAGAGTCTCTGAATAACAAACACTAATATAATGTATAACACCTTTAATGGCTGTTTTACAAAATATGCAGAAATGTGATTCCATATGGCTATTTATTATATCAACTCTTTATAAAGACAGGAACATAATATAAGATGTTATAAATAATTGGGATGGGCCTGTGGCTTTTAATCCAGTTCCCTTGTGACACTTAAAACAGTTCATGATTATTCCACTTAAACAAATAGCCATGCAATTTATAACACAAAATCGTCTGCTAAAGAATTGAATGAATGTGGAACTATTTGAACATGAAGAAAATGCAATCCGGACAGGTAAAACTTTATAAATTGAACAAAAAAGCAAGACAGAGAAGAAGGAAAAGAAAAGAAGAACCATAATGAAAAACTGTCAGGTTTCCAGATAGGGCTTTTGTTTTAAAATATCAGAGTTCTCAGATAAAGTAGTAATCCTCATCTTAAAATAATAAGCAGTGGCTAGTAATCATGATATTTTGTCATTTATATAAATAGACATAGTTATTTGTAATTCAATTATGTAACTGATGTTTTCCCTATAAATCTGTTAGGGCAATTTAATTAACAGCTGTCAAATACTAATTGCAAATATTCATCTCATTATTATAGTAATGTCATAGAATATCATATGATGGTAATATCAAATCTTGGGGTGGTCTCTCAGGAAGAAAAATATGTATATAATGTGTATATATACTTACATACAATATGTGTATATACATATACATATATACATAAAAATATCTGTTTTGTTATTTAAATTAATAGGCACAAGTTATAAAATGGAATAGTCTTATTTTGTATATATCATTTTTAACACCAAATTTGGGGACCAGGTACAGTTGCTTATGCCTGTAAACTCACCACTTTGGGAGGCCAAGGCAGGAGGATTGCCTAAGGCCAGGAGTTCACAAGCTGCTTGGAATACATAGTGAGATCCCAACTCCATCTCCATTATTTAAAATAAAGAGGAGGGGGGCTTTTATTAGAGGATGAAATAACTCAGTTCATTTTGTAAGTAGAACATTTGCACACAAAGTAAAAACAAACAACAGACTCCTTTCAGTCTCTGGTTTCCCTGTCAAGTTGTCCTCAATGGGAAAGATTTACATCTAAGATAACATTTGCCCTCTCACTTGCAAAGCAACTTAACTCAGTATGAAAATCAATGCCAGAGATGGAAAGAAAGTAGAAAATCAGCTAAATATATAAATCAAAAGTAAACTTTAAATGTATCATATGGAATATACTGCTATGGAAGTGTCTTTCAGCAAAATTGAACTCCCAAATATTTATGTCTTTTATCCTCAGTTTATTCAATTGAACAAATATATACAAATATGTAGTGAATTCTTTCTGTGCGCCGGACATTGTGCTAACAACTGAGGACTCCATAGTCCCCGCCCTCAAGAAACACAGTTTCATGAAGTCTGCTCAAAGTCTGAATGAAATAAGATACATTATGCTCTGTTGCACTAGTAACATGCAGTCAAGAAAGACTTCTCATGAATATAAAGAGATGCACTGAAATATATGATAATCTAGAATGCTAACTCACACTCATGGTCAAAACCAGGAAGGGCCATTTTGCCTTGTGACAATATTATGAGCTTTTAAAGGAAAACTTCTGGTCTTTTGTCAGCGTTAACCCAACAATCTCCTTTCTTTAAGGTGAGGAAATGAAAAATGAGGGCTACGGAACATTTAAATCCATGAATAAATCAGAAACTTCAGTACTAAATATGATTTAACTTTCCCCTGGGGATGCCAAAAAAGTTCAATAGAGGTATATAGGTCATGAAATGTCCAAGAAATAGCAAAAGGGTAAGTCTACAGCTGGAGTCTATAGCTGCCTGGCATTTCTATAGCTATAAACAAGTCCAAATTACAAGTCTATACAGCATTCACACTAAAAAGTGAATATTAAAAATTAAATACACTAAGTCCCTTTTGTGTCACCATTATACTTCATGTTCTGCCTGCTTTGCTCTCTGAAAATGGTATTTTCCCTTGTGGATAGGCCTAAACATGTGGCTGTCAGGCTGAGACTTCAGGTTGGCCAAGAATTGGTTCAGAACCTAAGAGCCAGCCAGATGTGTTGGGGACTGAGTGTAGTTTCTATCCATCATTTGTTGGAGAGAAAGCAGGAATGAGAATCAGATGACTGTTCATGATGAACAAATGTGTGGATCTGAAATTTATAGGTCATAGATGAGATGAGAGCATCAGAAAACATGGACAGAGGCCACCGTCTCTGCTGCCAACTGAGAAAGGAAACAGCAAAAGGAATCCCCACTCTGTGCTGGCTTTGTAAGGAGATGGGAATGGCCAATGTAAAGACAGAGGGAAAATCAGCAAGGGTCACAGGTGGGAACTGGCACAGTCTTCCAGACCTCCCCACTAACAAAGGTCAAGTAATAGGTGTGTAACAAACTATTCTCTAGTGAAAAAACTACTGTATTAAATATAAAGCAACTTATTTTTGCTTACAGTCCTTTTAATAGGATTATTCTTTCTTCTGGGGAGCATTTATAAAGATTAGATACTAGTTTGAAAATGGGAGGAGAGAGAGCTAAATTACTCTGCCTAATTGAGGAGAAAATTTCAGGTATCCCAGGGCAATGGGGAGGGGAAGAAACAAAGCAAGAGGAAGAAAAAAACCAGGTGGTGAGAGGTTTCAGCTTGACCAGAGGGATTAATATGTAGATTTTAAACTTGTTAGCTGTTTAGTTTACTTTATGACCCTCCCACAACTCCCTACCACCTCAATATGGTTCTGGTATGAGCAGTTACTTTATATCCATGGTTGCTTTTTATTGAGGAGTTGGTGTTTAAATTAAGATAGCCCAAACACTGTTTGGAATATCTAGGATGAAATTAGACAGGAATATGGTTGCTTTAGGTTGGGCCCTTTGCAGAAA